AATCAACAATTAATTAATAAATCGATCTATAAAAGTGTGGCTCAAAGGGAGAGAGGTGAGTGGTGTACTGTGCGATATGAAAATGTCCATGAAGCAGAGGGGAAGGTGTGCAGAACGGCGGTAACACTGGTACTTCTGTACAGAGAAAAACATTTCGCTATCCGGAAGAGACATGAGCAACAACCGAACTAGGTAGAAATGGTAGAACGTTCAGAAGGATGCGGTGTGAAAAAAAACCATAGTCGAAACAGCTGCATGAGAGTTGTTTCAGAAGTGGCGCCAATTTCAGAAAAACTTATCGAATCTCTGTTACAAACGCTTCGTAAGCACTGATACTGTCGGAGAAGGCCAAAGAAAAGGTGAGGCGATGTCGGAGGAGGAAGAAGAGTGACCGAAAATGTGACCACAGACAGAAAAACGTGCAGGTAATTGGTGACCGAATGACGACGCTTATTAAAGAGAACACCTTTAACAAAAAACAAGCTTGCGAAGTGCTACCGTCTACAGATCACAGAACAACACATTTAGAATGTGCAAGCTTCTTGCTGACTGCCAATGTTGGAACACGTCACATGCTTTGACTGTCATCCGAATCACAAATATCCCGCTAACTTTTTCACAACTTCATTGATGCTAAGTAAACGACCGTTGTTGATCTGCTGTTTGCCTACTGAATTCCATCCGTTTTGCCTTCTTTAAACAGTATATGCAACTGATACAAAAAATGAGAAATATGAGAACTAACTGATTAAAAAACAAAGCAAACCGATTATCAAACGAAAATCTAATAAGAAATATGACTTGTAAAAAAATTATGAACGTAAAACTTGCAAAAGTACATGATGTTTCGAGAAAAGAATTTTCAACTTAGTTTAAAGTTGCCAATCGACCCTACCGTCGGCAAACCACAGTGGTGTTTTGTATAAGAGCAAACAAACGAATGACAAACTGATCGATTTAACGGTTAATACCGTTTGGAAACGCGGTGGCGATCGTTCCCACTGAATCAGAGGTGACGTAGCAGAAGTCGGTAACACCGGGGTACTGCGTTCTGAAGCCATCGATGAACCGTGTGTTGAGGTCTTCGTTTTCGGCACCGCTCAGCGCCATGCCCTGAATAATACGCGTGCGAAACAGCAATTATGACACGAAAGAAAAAGACACGACTCACGATGCATTTCAGTTTCGCGTGCACCGATAATCCCGCCTCTTGCACAGCGCTGATCAGCAGGTCGTAAATTCGTTTCGATGCTTCGTCCGTTGAGCAAAGCTGAAATAGACTTGGTCACAAACAATTTACAGCTCACCTTTAAAAAACGAACGTAAAATGGTGAAGAGAAGGAAGAGTGAAAAAACTGACCACACTGACTAATTGTCCGGGTCAAAAGGTAATGAAGCTCGTTCAAACGACCATAATGAGATTTTGAATGCATCGTCAGCTCAGACTTCAAGTCGTGAAATTCCCGAACACCTGACACAAGCTTGGAAGTAAACAAGTCAACAAGCCGAGGCAGCGGCATGGAAACCACAAAATCACAATTAAGGTACGATGTACGATGATCTCCGACGCCCGTTCAGTAAAAATGTTCGAGTACCGGCTTTAAATCTGAATTTCGATCACTTCAATGAATCTACATTGAGTGGGATATAAATGAGGGCATAAACATGACTTAAACCACAAAAAGCCGAAAACATTTAGAAACGTGGTTTGTACGTTTGCATCATTGGGCCTACTTTCCAATGTAAGGAGCAACGTTGTATTGAATGGCATTCTTTCAGCTGCCGCTGTGAAACATTCAAAAATTGTGGCAAAGACTACCGTGCGTCTGTTTGCTTGTACGCAGAACCATTGAAGTCGCAATTTATTGAACAAAAACATAGAAGTGAATCAAATTTAGTAAATTGCCGTTTCAAGTTAGCCGTCTCAGTCGTACTGTGTGCTTGGTACTGTAATCACTGGTCCGTGAGATACAAATTACAAACTAAAAAACTTTCCAATTAAAACCCCGCCGATTTAATTAAATAAATTATACTCGTTGGGGCCATGTATAAAACATCTTTTGGCACATGTCAATATGGTTTCATACCGAAAGAACAGCTGAGAAGCTTAAACCACCCTTTAAGAGTTAGTAGCACGTACGACTGACCGGTGAAGCATACCGTCAACGCGACTAGTGCTACGAATCGTTTTTCAATGACTGTTGACGTGTGAGCTTAAGCAAACTGCTACTTCACCAACGGGCTGCTGAGCCAACAGTCGCGCACAGCAATAACACTGTGAATAACCGATCCATCTTCTTCACAACAGCCTTGGTCAATGCGTCAGAACGTCAGGGCAACGCATGCACAAGACCTGCATTTATTAACAATGTTGTCTCTGCCACTGAGCACATAAGCTTCGATCTAAACCTAGGGCGTTGTGTAAACTAAAACCTGTGCCAGACAGAAACTTAGCTATCGAACGGTAAAAGACATTTTCATCTGGGGTATGAAGTGAGAACGTATGAAGTGAAAGAGAATAAGCTAGGCACGGACGGTAAATGACTTAGATACTTAGATTCGTAGCCTGGTTGAATATTACTTAATACTCTTCATTCGTCAATCGACGGTTCAAAAAAGAAATAGTCATTTGTTTGGGGACGTGCTTCGACAACGTCATCATCAGGATTATGGTACATAAACAGTGATGTTACATCTGAGGGTCAACCTTGTTTGTTGCGTTAATTTTACCGAACAAGTTAGTGCATGGCACTGCAGCTGTCCGTGAATCTAAACTGTCCAGCTTACATACCCATTGTAATAATTGTTTAATTAATAGAGGGATGTTTTTTATGTGGTCATCTACAGAAATAACATTAGTCCAACTAAAACAGCGTCTTAAAAAGAAAGGACGGTTAACGATGTAAAAATGTTCTGTTGTGGTTGTGGCATTGGTCAGCGTTTTGTCGAACGTTGATACGGTTTTTGCGATATAAGTCTGTCTTGTGATAGCACAGTCATCTTAAGCTGAGGGCTTATAAGTTCGATCGATCAAGAGCACCAAAATCTTAAGGAGTGGTGGTGAAGTGACAAAAAAAGGAAAGAGGACAAACAAAGTATAAAAGCATCAGGTTCGAGTGGTGGTCGACCATCGACGGCGTTTTAGCGAGTTGAGTTCGTCTGAAACAATCGCAACGTAACACGTACGTAGAGATTGGTCGCCATGCCAGTCTTGACCGCCAAAACGCGTCCGGCATCGTCCATCACTTGCAGCACGGTCTTGGTAGCGCCGCCTTCGACACCGGCGAAGTACAACCGCGGTGGTGGTGCAGGGTTAGCGGTCATTTATTCGTCTGTCCACCTGACTCGGTCACCGCTGGCCGGTACACCGCGACGACTGAAACGTACTCAAAACTGGACACCACAAACTAGCAGCCGGCTGAAAGCAAAACGCGCGTCACATTAGCCAACGACGGATCAGTAGATGAGATCGGATAAACGCAGTCGACTGTTCTGCAGGTCGATCGTCGGATAATCGAACAAAATACACGAAACTTTACACAAAGCTGAAAGTGTCTCTGTGTAAATGGAACGAACAGCAAGCTTACAGTGGCAAGTGCATGTCACACTCGACGAATGCCATACGGTGCACAGGCACTATTCAAGTTGTTAAAAGCCGGATAACAGTGGGTAATAAATAGATCGTGTGCTGCTTTGCACGTACGTATATCCGAACGAGCGTCAACGTGAATTCCTACTGGGCGAGCGTAAACAAAATCTATGCCAGACTGTGCACGAGGACGAGCATCGAGACTGACAAACACCAATCGCAAGCGCAAACACTGTTGGTCGACGAAAGCATGTCCAGGCAGTATGAAAACAGAAACTCAACGACAGAACTCAGAAGAAACAAGGAAGCTTGTAACCGTTCGAATGCCGGACTTCCTTACGCTTTTCTCATGCGGTTGGGGGGGCGGCATTCGTGATGAGGCGACTGATCTCAATTTCCAAGCCATCACTCAGCGGT